CAAGTTTGTCGGATACCTTGGATTTGCTACCAAGGCAGGAGTAGATGATAGTGTCATCTGCCTAAATACCTAGTTGGGAACTGATGACATCAGGGAGATCATTGATGAAGATCAGAAACAGCGTAAGTTCAAGTATACAGTGCTGGGTGATCCCTGCGTTAGTATGAAATTATAAATTATACACACGAACGGTACCGAACAAGACAAATATACGTGAAGTCTACTTAAAGAATGAAAAATAAGCAACTCAAAAATAAAAATACCAGAATGTTTTTTTCACTTCATTATTTTATTTTCTAATAAAGTTTAAATAAATGCGAAACATTTTAAATTCACAAACGCTTCCTATTTGTTCTTCACTCTATCATATATATATATATGTATATATATATATATATATATATATATATATATATATATATATATATATATATATATATATATATATATATATATATATATATATATATATTTCAATAACTATATATATATCAATAACTATATATATATATATATATATATATATATATATATATATATATATATATATAATAATATATATATATATATATATATATATCAATAACTATATATATATATATATATATATCAATATATATATATATATATATATATATATATATATATATATATAACAATATATATATATATATATATATATATATATATATATATATATATATATATATATATATATATATATATATATATATCGCATAAATAAATTTTTTTAGGATAACAATATCGAAAATTTGGAGTCAATTGCTGAAATCTCCTGATGAATGGACAGAATGATTAAAAAAAGATTCGTCTATGAAACTCTAGTATCGAGATGCTAAATATATAATCAATCAGTTTAGTGACAAATTTTATTTGTATTTATCATATATATATATATATATAAATATAAGAATGGCTTTTTCATTTAAAATCCGGCATATTTTAATTTATTTTTTAAACATTATTTTATTGCATACACATACGTGAACATATATTGTTAAATATAACAGACAATGAATGTCTATATTTTTTTAAAAGTTGGTCTTTGATCTAAGCTTACGGATCACATGAGCCATCTCCAGAGTGGTAAAAAAAAATTATTTAAAAAAATTTCCAAATGTTGGACTATTTTTGTCTGTATTTTCACCCGAAATGAAAGCAAACGTACGGCTCAGAACGTCTCATGATCAGACATAATAGACATTCATTATCTGTTATATGTTTACATAATGATCTGCTGCCTCAATACACTAAACCCAAATTTGAGTAGATCTCTGTATTTATTATTAAACAGTATATTTATTTTGTTCTTTCTACCGTCCTGAATATTCGAGGAATCTTAGGCGAATATTTTTCCAACAAGATTTCTCGAATATTCAGATGGAAATAAATAAATAAACAGAGCATCTACTCAATATGGGTATCCACTAAAAATAACGTTTAAGCAGTAAATTTATTTATATATATATATATATATATATATATATATATATATATATATATATGAATTAATTGATTTAAAATATGTTTTTTTTCCGCTACACAGTTCTAACCATGTTTCATATATATATATATATATATATATATATATATATATATATATATATATATGAAGAAATATAGTGTTAAGATGTGCTATATTTATGGGATAAAGTGCTCAATATCAGAGATAGAGCGTGTGTAAATTTTATATATATATATATATATATATATATAATCGACTCTCCCGTCGAGATTAGACGTATGAGGGTCAAGCAGATCAATTTCCAGGAAACCGACAGCCGACACCGGCACATGAGATTTGATTATAGTGGTGAAGGTTTCGTGCAGGACTATCCACACTTTTTGAAGGGATGAATACAGAGACCTGGTGCACCGAATGCCACAAGGTTCCCAAACGACCATGCGCAGGTTTTGAATTCAGAGTTGTCCTATATATATATATATATATATATATATATATGAAATTTAAAAATCTAAATTAAGGGAGACATCGAGCCTCCTCTGTGAGCAAAAACTACCAGTCAGTATCATTGGATGGTGTCAAGCTTAAGATGTTACATCAGAGTCCCAACCATCTCCAATGTGGATATCTTAACGAAGATTTATGGATCAGCCCTTCCATTGAGCTTACCGCGCACCTGAAACCCCAACACAATTATTTCTACACCCCACCTTCGCCCGTGCTATATAGTTGTTGGTCCCATGAAAGGATTCGTCCGCCTTTTGACAGGGGTTGTTTTTTAGTCCTGCTGTCTGTTTTTAGGCGCAGGGGATTAATGCATAGCGGCTCAGACTGAGGAATCGGAGAGCCGAGTTCGAATTTCAGTCGAATCCATTACATACACTTACTTGCTAATACCCTTGGGAAAGGTATGAATCATCTGTTTTCCCAGCTATGAGTAAATAGCAGGACAGACTGTGTTTTATAGCCTTGGATGGCAAGTGGTCTATCGCAGAAAGAAATGACAACGTACTGAGGGAAAAAAATCTTCCTCGTCAGTCATGTATCGAAAGATACAGGATCGCCTAAGTGTGTATCGCGCATGACACATAACTGACTGGGCGTTTAACAATCCACCTGACTAGAAAAGTCACAAAAAAACCCCGATAATGCAATATGGAGTACTCGGTTAGATAGTGCAAGTAACAATCATTACTTTCAGATTTCTCGATCGCTATCGATTACACAAACGTAAATATATATATATAAAACATGTCGACTTAATAAATGAAAAATCCATAAAAATCCATTCTTATATATATATATATATATATATATATATATATATATATATATATATATATATATATATATATATATATATATATAGTCGTAGTCGACTCTCCCGTCGAGTTCGACGTATGAGGGTCAAGCAGATCAGTTCCCAAGAAACCGACAGTCCGACAACAGCACATGAGATTTGATTATAGTGGTGAAGGTTACGTGCAGGACCATCTACACTTTTTGAAGGGCCGAATTCAGAGACCTGGTGCACTAAGCGCCACAAGGACCCCAAACGACCCTCCGCAGGTTTTGAATTCACAGTTGTCCTTCTCCTAGACCAGTTGCCATCCAAGGCTATAGAACCCAGTCTGTCCTGCTATTTACCCATAGCTGGAGGAAGAAGATGAGGATTCACACCTTTCCCAAGGGTATTAGCACGTAAGTGAACGTAATGGATTCGACTGGATTGAGGAATATATATATATATATATATATATATATATATATATATATATATATATATATATATATACTACCTTAAAAGGGTTCTTGATTGGGCTTTCATCACAATAGGTAGGGCGGTGTAAATGCGATAAACAACTATAGACTACAGAAGAATTTAAAATTGATCGCTGCATTAATATTCAAGCTTGCCTTTTAAAAGTTCAACGATAATTCTTCTGTCGCCACTTAATTTAAAGACAATTGATGGACGTAGGCCCTTAATAATTGTTTTTATTTCATGGGTGACTTTCGCTGGATGTCGCAATTAATTTCGATTATTCCTAAATTTATTTACAAGTTATAAAAATTGTTAAAATAAAAAAAAAAAAAAAAAAAAATGGCCGAAAACAATCGCAGTAATGAAATCTTAGGAATCCAAAATTTCAGGATTGCTGGTCCGGATCTGGTCCGAAATGTTTTTAATTTGCTCACTGAGTCAGCCTGATTCCAAAATCGTATGATGTGTTGAGTTACGGCGTCTAAAGTTGAAGTGTGACACAGTGAAACACTGACATTTGCACTATATATATATATATATATATATATGTGTGTGTGTGTGAAAATATATAGAAAATAGGAAGGAACTGGTTAGGTAAATAATCCAAAGTCCCTTAGTATTTTAGTTATTATTTTTTAAAAATAGTGCTCGATACAAAAGTAGAGCATAAATATAATTATTTATTTAAAAATATGATTCCAAATCGAGACATAAGAAGTCCCATGTTTCAAAACAAGAGCCGAAAACTTCAATATAATTATTTAAATTTTGAATTTAAATTAGATTATTTAAAATAAATTCTAATTCCATCTTTAAATAATTATAAAATTTTTAAAAATTTTGTTTTGAAACATGGGACTTCTTTATGTCGCGATTTGGAATCATATTTTTTTAAATATATATATATATATATATATATATATATATATATATATATATATATATATATATATATAAATAAAATAATTCAAATTTATCTGTATCTCACTCATTTACATCGTTATTTAACTCCTCTCTTTAAAACTTCTCTCTGTTAAATTTTAGTCCCCACCTTCACCTTTAGGCATTCTTCTTTCGTCTGTTACCCCCTCTCTAAAGCTTTCATTTCCTTCTCACACTTGTCTCCCATTCCTATACATACATTCTCACTAAAATTTTATTTTTTATACTCGAAGATTTTTTTTTTCCAATTTCTTTTTGAATTTGTGGGTCTGATGAATTGGATCGTAATTACGATTCCAATGTAAGAAATTATAACCATGGAATATTAGTGTTTAAGCCTTTTTATTATATTCTTACTCTGTCCTGGTCATTGAATTCTACCTGGATTTTATCCTCTAGGATTTTTTATATATATATATGTATATGTATGTATGTATGTATATATATTTATATACTTTAAATATTTATATATGTATATGTGTGTATTGACCACTAATATTATTATATATCTATCTATATATATATATAGATAGAGATAGAGAGAGAGAGAGAGAGAGAGAGAGAGAGAGAGAGAGAGAGAGAGAGATGTTTAAAAGCACTAAACGACTTTGCTTGGTCATCGACGCACTCCGTAGCCGAGAGGTTAAAGTACTTCAGATCTGATGACGGTTTCCCTTCGGTCCGAATCCTGCCGGAGAGCGTATATATATATATATATATATATATATATATATATATATATATATATATATATATATATATATATGTGGGGGTGCGCGGCCTGAAGATTGTGTTCAGGCATGAAACAGATTGTCGTGAGAAAGGAAGAAATAGAGAAAGACAAATTGTGAGTGAGAGAGACAGAAAGAGTAAGAAAGAGAACGAGAAAGAAAGAGGATGAGAAAGAGGAAGAAAGAGAAAGAATAAAAAAGAGAAAGAGTAAGAAATTGAACAAGAAAGAAAGACGATGAGAAAGAATAAGAGAAAGAGTAAGAAAGGGAACGAGAAAGAAAGAGAACGAGTAAGAGGAAGACAGAGAAAGAATAAAAAAGAGAAAGAGTAAGAAATTGAACAAGAAAGACGGTGAGAAAGAATAAAAGAAAGAGTAAGAGTAAGAAAGAGGACGAGAAAGAAAGAGAACGAGTAAGAAGAGTAAGAAAGAGGCCGAGAAAAAGGGAACAAGAAAGAGAAAAATATACACATAGAGGCAGATAAAATTGTAAAAAACTGATAAAAATGGATAACTTCTACTAAATTGATATAATAGATTCATTGGTAGATAAACGAATAAGTAGAGATTTATATCGAAATACTTAGATGAACAGATTGAAAAAAATAGACAAACCGAGATAGGGTCGGACACGCGCAGATGGAAATATTTGTTTTAAAATCAAAATAAAAAAAAGAAATTTACCTTCAAAACTAAAAGCCCCAACAATATTCGAGCCATGAAATCTTGAATAATTTTCCTCCAAGGTTGTGTTTTGTTTTTATGTATTTGTCCTCTAGCGCTATCTGTCTCGTAATTAATTTTATCACTGTGTAGCTCTGAGTAAAGCTGTTGCTTTTATCATTTTGGGCGCTGACTCAAAAACGAAAGAAGGTTTTTCTCCACCCTTATAACACACGCTTTTTCTAGAATAAGGAAAGGTAACGTTTCAGATTACCTCCCACTGTCGTGACTGACTTCTTTCATCCTTACACAATTAGAAGGTAACATTTATTATTTTCTTTCCTTTGGACACACCTTTTTTTTTCAACCGCCACTAGGTTATGCAAAAAAAAAAAAAAGATTTATTTCTTAAAAAAAAAAAAAACGTCACGCACAAATATTTTTCTTTTAATTTTTATGATTTGAATTTGTAAGCATAGAGGCGTCCCTTTTTTTTTTTTTTTTTAATCATCTTCGAAAGAGATGAATCAGAAAAAGATTTCAAATTAATTTACTTTTGTAAAAAAATGTTCGTTAACCAATGCAACAACAAAAAAAAAGTGATATAAGCAGAACAACATTTTGAGAGCGGTGCTGAGAAATTCTCAAATAATTTAATGAGGAGACATCAAAATACTGATTTTAAGGAAACTTGCTGCGCCGAGAACCTTTCAGAACTTCATCGGATTTTAAAGTTTTATATTTCAAGCAAATCTTTGGAAATCTACTTGTGGAAAAGCCAGAGAAATAAGATGAAAGAAATACTAGTAAAAAAAAATAAATAAATAAAATAATATAAAAAAATAACTGACAAGGCTTTATGCAAAAATTTCAGGCAAATTAAGACTATTACTGTGAGGTGTAGATTGTAAAAAAAGCAAGAGAAATAAGATAAAAGAAATACTAATCGAAAAATAATTAACAATGCTTCACCTAAGAATTTCACACAATGTAAGACTTAAGATGACGACTACAAAGTCTTACATATTTTTATCTGGGACCAATTTGAGTTATGTCTGTAAAATAATTACTGAAGCGATCATTTGTTAAAATATCTTAGATGAAACACTGACAATTATTATTCATTTTTGACACGTATTTCTTTCATATTATTTCTTTTGATTTATTAGTAGTAATTGATTAAAAATTTGTGAATTTCTTAGATAGTCATGGCAATTATTAATGATTCATCTTTCGCTTGCTTTCACACAAACAAGAAATGACTGACCCGAAGAAACACATTAATGAAAATTACATATATATTGTCATCCACAGACAGACTGTTTCGCAGCTCATCAGTGTGGCTTGACGTCCGGTTGCCTCTAGCTAGGATTGAAACCCGACTGACGCCAATTCAGTCGGGTTTCAATTCTACCACTAAGCCGTTGGCAAGGATGAAGCGGAATTTAAGCGTATTTATTTATAGATAAACACACAGTGACTGGGAGAACTCGATTCAATTTACAGAAGGGTCTTGAATTATTAGTCGTAATAGTCACTGTTTACAAACCCACATTTCCTCCCAGAGAGCTCAACTGAAATATATATATATATATATATATATATATATATATATATGGATATTACACCGAAAACATGATTTTTACATGTTTTCTGTATAATATCTTAAAATAAATAATATTGCTCTACACTGTATTGAGCCCTCTTTTAACTTAAATGTTACGAACGTTGGAATTGTACCCTATTCGTTTCTCGTCGTCTCTGGATATATATATATATATATATATATATGAAAAGTATGTGTATATGAATATAAATAAATATATATATAATTATTTATATATTATATAATTGGTACTTATTAGAAAGCGCTCAATATCAGAGACAGAGCACAACACACACACACACACACACACACACACATATATATATATATATATATATATATATATATATATATATATATATATATATTGATAAACACACATATACCTATGTTTGTAGTGCAACTCTGAGTTTCATAGTCATACAATTCATCGGTCACAAATAGTAGAAATTTTTACCATTTATGCTTGATTAATTGGGTAACCATGAAATTCTGAGTTACACTACAAAAGTAGGTATATGTGTATTTATTAATAACTACTTTATAGTTCTGTTCAACTTCATTGAGTACTGTTTAGTTTACACCTTAAATTAAATAAATATTTATTTGCTCCTCTATGTTTTGCGCTATCACATGCATATAATGTTGCTTATATCTCGTTATTTATTATATGTTCACACTTCTTTTCTCTCTCTCTCTCTCTCTCTCTCTATATATATATATATATATATATATATATATATATATAGTAAATTGTGTGTATTTAGGCAGCAATTTTTCATTGATGCATGTTTCATTAAATAATATTGACAAGTTTTGTCTATTTATTTTAAGTAATTTCCTTTCATATTGTCTGATAAGCTTAATAACATTATCAGTAAAAGACGAAAGGAAATCACCATATTGATACATGTTTTAATCCTATCTAAGCTTTCGGCTTACATAAGCCATTATCAAAGATGACAATTACATTTCAATATATCAAACAATACACGGACAAAACAATAATGATAGTCTGTTTTTGTTGCCTGAAAAATTTCAAAGCAACGACAAACACGCGAATACGAGACGCGAAAGCGAAAATCGCATCACAGCTCGTGACGTCATGCATGACCACGCGAGAGTGAAAACCAGAAGCATTAGGTATGAGAAGTCATTGGTATATATAGTAGCAGTCCAATCTTTGTCTCTTTTCATATATATAATGGCTATCAGTCTGTTTTCTGTATATTACCATGTCTATATGTATATATAAATATAATATAATGTCTATATATCAAATATATAATTATATATATATATTATCAAGTATATAATTATATCAAATATAATAGAATGTCTCTATATCAAATATAATGTCTATATATATAATGGCTGTCAGGCTGTTTTCTATATATTATAATGTCTCTATATATATTGATTGCTTTTCATATATATATATATATATATATATATATATATATATATATATATATATATATATATATCGTATTGTTCGCCTTCGGATCGCAGTGGTGTGAAACTTAAATACCGCTCTGATCTTTGTCTCTTTTTGAGCAGTGAAGGTGGGAAGCGTAATTGCCGTGTTTTGATAGCTTAACCCTGACCACCGTTTTACCAATGGTATAGAAATATGACGTAATGCCCAACCACCGGTTGAACGGTGAGTAAACACTTGCGTCCGGTTTTGGTATTGGCTATCTTGTTTTGAAGAGCCAATCAGAAAAGCCGTAATATTCTGATTTCACCCAACTTTATAGCAACATATCCGCGCTTTTTCATTGTGTTTTGTGCATGTGTTTTCGATAAAAAATAAAGATCATGAAGCGTGCAGAGTCTGAATCTGGTTCGTCAAGGAAGAAATCAGGAAGTTATATTTTTTTTTTTAACTATTTTTAATATCTACCGTGAAATACCAATTATTTGCGAATTTTGACTCAGTAGCTCAGACAGAAGATTTAAAATTGTTCAGGAACGCAGGGCTAAAAGGGTTAAAAAAAACAGACCACTATTTACCGCTCTTGTTGCGGGATGTCGCCCTCGTAAGCTTTCGAAAGAAAGATGTGTGAACAGCTAAGACAATGAGGGGACAAGGCAGAGGTTGAAGAAACAATAAACGTCAAATTTATTTATCCAAAGTGTACAAGAGTGTACTCTGGAGGAATATATTTGTATCGGTGTCGGGTCCGGTATGACTGACTGGCTCCCTTCAGGGGAATTGATTCAGTTGTATCGGCGAAACGATTGTAGGGTTGATCGGCAGTGGTAGCTGGTCGACTGCCGGATGGGAAAATTGTCGGCAACAGCGACAGGTTGATCGATGACGCATGAGGAGTCGTCGGGTCGGTTAGGCGAGTCCCTAAACTCTTTAGGAAAGTCTCATTCGTTTGGTGCTATTTCTTAGTTTATATTTCATTATTCTTGTTTCTTTTATCTGCTTTTTCTTGTTTTTTCTTCCATTGGTTGTTAGTTTTTTATTTTTATTTTTCGTGCACCTGGCAGGTTTTGTGTTGGTTTTACCTATACTATTTATATATAAATCCTTCCTAACGGATAGGTCCCTGAAGGTAGTTGTTAACAACCAGGTCCTAGCAATGAACGGAGGCGTCACCCAGGGATCGGTTCGAGAACCGATCCTCTTCTCTAATTTACATAAATGATATGCCTAAGAATAGACTCCAATCATTTGTGAATATCTATGTACTGATGATAGAAAGGTATATCTCTAAAACTCTAGATGACCAGATATTAGCAGTTGATTTACGCTTGAATATAGCTCTAACATTTGTATTGAGGGAGATCTGGCTCTTTATATTCAATGTCTCGAAACCAAACTGATTGGGCCCAGAGCTATTACGAGGAATAGATGTTCTCTTAGGGATGACCTGTGCCTTGAGCGCCTATTGGGATTTACACAACGCAGACCGCAAGTGGAAGTCGTATATATGATCCCTTGCTAAAGGTTCCCTATATCACTCCAGTAAGTAACCGACTCCTTCTATTATCTACCTTTACAAGAGCTAGATCGGGCCAAAAAATGGAGTACTGTTGTCATATATGGACAAAAGCTGGACAGTTTTTACTTTCCAGTCGCTGTAAAATCCAAAAGAACCCCCCCCCGCGTCCTTCTGAGTGACAAATCATTTTCCATCCTACATGTTCTGTCTCACGTCGCAAGCATCTCGCTGCACTATCGCTATTTCC